CCTCCCTCCCTCCCTCCCTCCCTCCCTCCCTCCCTCCCTCCCTCTCTCTCTCTCTGTCTCTCTCTCTCTCTCTCTCTCTCTCTCCTTCTATTCCTTCTTTCTGTCCTCATAGAGTTCCACTTTTTACGGTCACGACGGGCCCCCGCGGGCCGCGATATTTTCTGGACACCAAGGGTGGCGGATCGCCGCGGCGCGTTCGAGGATTAACCCCCTGATGGTACCGTGCGTGCAGAATGTCCGATGACGGGCGCATTTGAACGGGATGATAGGGCCTCGTCAGGAGGAGGCGAGTCGATCCTTTACCCTCCGATAAAAGTGTCGAGATGTTAATCGTTAGGTATCGATTGTCGAGAGTTGATGGGGCTTAAGGAAGGAAGAAGAAGGATGACGCGATTGCGCGATTACCGCATCTTTACGACGCGTGTCGTGAGGAAGAAATATATGTTTCCCCGTTGGAATCGATTTCTTCTTCGTGTAAATAAATTGTGCGATTTTGCAAGCTCGAAAACCCGCTGTCTCGCGACGGTGCGCGGGGAACGAAAGGACCCGCGCGTATAACGGTCTGTCAAGTAACGCTGCTATTTCGTCAGCATTGCGCCACTGCCAACGGGCGCCGTAAATCCCGAGTCGTCATTGTCACTGCGGAAATTAATATATCTTGGATTTAGTAGTAACGATCTCCTCTCGCGCCGGTCGTCCTGGACGCGCGTGAAACGCGTGCTTCCAATTAAGGAATAAAAGGGATACTTCACACGGGCTGAGGATTAACTTTTATTGAGCGTTTACAACGGCTCACACCGGCGAGGGAGATAGCGAAATATTAAGTTTCGCGCGTTTATCGCCAATCTCGCGATAAAGACGAGAATCGCGCCGTAAATTCGCGCATTTATTCGCCGTGCGGTTTCGAGTTCCCACGTTAATAAGCAGGAAGACACGTCGACGGGGAGACGCGGAATCGACGTGAGTCGATCAACGTGTATTATTCATGAATTAAGCTGCGCTGTCCGGAGTTTTGCGCCATTTTCCGGCTGTGTCACAACATCCATAGAGAGAGAGAGAGAGAGAGAGAGAGAGAGAGAGAGAAAGAGAGATGCGTTATCGCGGTATACGATGACTGCGACGGTGATTCGCGATGCATTCCGATATACGAACCGCGGAATTACAATTCCATCGATGAGATAACGCAATGGCCTTATGAAACTCTACGACTGTTCCGTCACCATATTTTAGGGGTACGCGACCGGGTGAGAAATACAAGAACGTGATTTCTTCCGCAGGTACACGCACACATTTTCAGGACACGCGTCGAATTTACACGCGCGCGCGCACTCCTCGAGTTGACTTGAAATAATTATAAAACTAACGTCAAGAACTGTGTTCGCCTTACACGAGAAAGCTGCCAATTAACATCTCCCTTCCTCTCCCCCTCTCACCGCCGGCGCGAAGTTCCTGATTTCTACCGGCCTCGCGGCGCGTTACTCCGCCTCCTTCCCATGAACTTCAACTTTTCATTATCGCGCAGCGACTCGCGCTTATGATGCCTCTTTATCGGGAAAGGAGACGGCGTTTTATTGCCGAGTCGGCTCGCGCGGTCTCAAATTTTCTTCTCTACGTCGCGGCTTATCGGCGTGGCAGCTTTGCGCGTAAATGCTCGAAATTACAGCCGATCGACCATATCGGCGCTTTCACGCGAAATTTTCGTCCCCCTCGGGCTCGCTCGTGCTTTTCCCTTAAGTGATTTATGGTAGGTGGATACGTAAGCGGCTAAGTGGATGGACATTAATAAAAATGAAGAAGAAAAATACTCTCTCCAATTACGGAGGTGTACCCTCCGTCGAAGTTTGGATCGTCGATTTTGTGCCGGAATTAACCTTCGAAAATTGTCATCAAATATCACCCCAATTTTTATCATGGGAAAGTCGTTCTGGTTTATAATAATGTTGCCACTACTGATGGCGCAAGAAAATACTCGTAAAATTAATGTTGCCGCAGTTACGTTTTTTAATAAGATGAAAACAAAACTCGCATGGAGTGAAATTTCACCCGTGGTGGTCTTTAAGGGTTAAAGCCGAAGTCTCGTTGCGCGTCGACATTATCCGAAAGTGGAGGTAAAGATATTCTGACGCGAACGGTCGAAACGATTGGGAAAGATTGGCTTGTCATCGATCGGCCGACGACAACGACTGTGACGACGATGACGATGAGGACGCGAGCGACGACAATGGCGGAGACGGGGAATATCACGTTCCTGGCAGCTTCGACGCCCACGATTAACGACTCGTGCCGATGATAACCAGACCCACGCTCGCAGCCTCATGCTGATGTCTCGGCGCATTCATTTTACGAGGCCATTTTCGGCGCGCGCTCGAGGACTCGTCAACGATCCCGTGGCGAGAAAAGGCCGAGGGAATTGATATGAGGGCATGAAAAACGACACTGCGCGAGCATCGGCCGTGTCGTCGTCGTCGGTGCTAGCCGTTCTTCCAAGCACGTTGCTTATTCACGTTGCCGTCGAATTTACGGAGGTGACAGTTCTTCGGCACGTCACCGCCCGCGAGAGCGAAAGAGGAAACTATCTGTGCGATTTTCATTGAGATTGAGACGCGTTTACGACGACCCGACCCGATCCGACTTCTCGACTCGACGATCTCGACTCGAAGATATTACGGCAGGATATTATGGAAGGCGTGAAAAAGAGAAGAGAGAGAAGGAGAAACGTCGAAATCAAATGAACGAACACCTCGCGAGCCCCGTTTGAAACCCAGACATAGAGTCGCGCCAACAGCGCTACGTTCGCGTTCGGCATCCTCGAGAAGTGATCAAACGCGAAAGGAGGAAGTAGACTCCTGCGCCACGTAACAACGGTAGCATGTCCGATGTCGAGCCCGGCGTTTTGCCTCTGACGGCTATTGTGCGCTAAACTCCAAAATAAAGGGAAGATACGAGCCTCGCGGACCGGGAATTACGCATCCGTTGAAAGGCAGGCACAAATTACAGAAGTGACGTAATGGCTGAGATGCATGAAGCGTCTTATCGCCGACAATTTGAGCGCACGCGGGCCGCGGGCCGAGGAAAATTCAACGCTGCGAAATTATCCTTCGGGACGGAGATTGCACCGAGATCGCCGCTTTACTCGCACGCTCCCGCTTGCGAGTGAAAAATGCGGAACATCTAATAGATTTTCCGTCAAAACTCGCACCGGTGTATTTTCTCTTTGTTACTTCTTTCTAAACCTGCCGGATGCCCTCCTCTGGGAAGCAATGTCCTTTCTAGCCAAAACTTTCGTGTCCTGCCACAGATGTTGTTTGTCCTTCCCTACCTCATCTCCAAGGAGCTCTTTTTAATCGCAATACAGATAAAAGTATGTGCAAAGTATGTGCAATAATTTATCCCAAAGTATTAATATATAGTACTTTTGAGCATATTTTTATCAATAATATGCACGGTGTTTAAAAAAAAAGTTCAAACCTTTAAAAGTATAGTACTTTAAAAGTATAAAATGGAGAAAAATATCCTAATAAACATAAGTCGAAAAATTAATATTGCCAGAGTTATGAACAATTTATTTTAATTAAACCATGTCGCTTATTCGCTTCTAATGCACGGCCATGCATGAAATGCAATACGTCACTTTTACTATATTGTGCAAACTTTGTGATAGCTCTCTGCAACTGTTCATTGTTCACAAGGATACTAACAATTGCTTGATGAAACGTGTGTATAAATGGAGAGAAAATAAATGTTTGTTTACATTCCGTGTTTACATTCCGAGCAAGAGCGAAGAGACTTTATTTTAAGGATTTCTTTAAAGCACGGTACTTCCTCTTTATCGACATAGGCACGTTACATCAGAGAACACAAAAGCACCAGAAGCGAGTAAGTGACTCGCTTTAATTAAAATAAATAATTGTACAAATAATATTAATTTTTCAATCCATGTTTATTAGAATTTTCTTCCTACATGTTGTGAATACTATTTACCCTTAAAGTCCTGAACTTTTTTTTAAACACTCTGTATACATATGCGTAAAATATATATTGTGAAATTTATAATATACAGGGTGTCCGAGATCTTTTGGAAAAGGAAAAAGTGTGAAGATTAATCAGATCAAACTGAGAAGAAAAATCAAGTACAATTTTGCAAAAATCGCAATAGTTATTATTATTGTTATCATTAATGATTGGAAATGATCACATCTAAGAACCTTTTTAATGATATAACCTTTTTAATAATATATATATGATAACTTGAAAATTTGAATACTTACTCGCAAAATGATAAAGGTAAATTTCTTTGTTCAGAATGACCTACAATTATATCTAGGAAACAGATTCAAGATTTAGGATTCAAAATTCAATATCCTCATATCTGTCGCTAGACACAATAGCCGTTATATAATTGTAGATTAGGTCATTCTGAACAAAAATGTCCTTTATCATTTTGCAAATAAGTACGCAAATTTTCAAGTTATCAATTAAAAAGCCTCTAGATGTAATCATTTTCAATCATTAATAACTATTGCGATTTTTGCAAAATGGTACTTGATTTTTCTTCTCAGTTTGATCTAATTAATCTTCACAATTTTTCATTTCTATAAAAGATCCCGAACATTCTATATAATGTATTTGGAAACTAATGTTCGGAAAGATGAGGGACGTATTCCACTCTTCCCTCTGAAGATCTTTTTTTGTTCACCAAAATTTTCAGCCGCCCTTGCCTACCAACTTACAAATCTGGCAACCCTACTTGCAACTCTCCCAATCCCGCATGCGTCTCATTGAATCATCCCGGTAATCGAAGGATAAGTCGATACTGATTCATAAATACGACCATACTCTTACCGTGATATTCTTCTCGTTAGAAATATCGCAATTCATTTGGTCCTGTCTCCCGTTTTACTCTTCAAGAACATATATCTGTGTCGAAGTAATCATAAGAGCAGCACACATTGAAATCCGCGATACGAATAAGAGCGCCGGATGCGACGGTGTTCTCTTACCTGACCGTGCTTGTCCATGTCGTTGTTGGTCAGTTTCACCTTCTCGAAGGAAACAATCTGTTTTCTTAACTGCTCGCCGGTAAAAGGAGAGTCCGGGTGTGTGTAAAGTCGTGCGGGTGCCGGCGGGTCCGCTTTGCCGGCCACCAGCCAGCAGCTACGATGATAGGCGTATCGGTATCTCTTGTTGTCGAGCGGCACGATGTCCATCAGCACGGAGTAACGGCCCTCAGTCTTAAGCCCGCTAAAGGATACTCGGCAGGTCGGGAACATTCGTCTGCGAAAAGGCACATATACAGGAGATTTTAACGATGGTCAATTGCAGGGTTGGGAAAGTTACTTCGTAAAAGTAACTAGTTACAATTACAGTTTTCTTCACTGAAAAAGTAACTAGTTACAGTTACAAGTTATTGACTTTCAAAAGTAACATATTACAGTTACAGTTACTTAAAAAGTAACGAGTCGTTAGTTTTTAGTTACTTTTCTATAATAAATATTATTTTAAATTTCGTAATTGTGTATTAATTTCAAATTAATTTAAATTATACCTTAGTTAATTATACTTTATTATGAATATAAAATGTTATTACTTTTATATTACAATGTTACTTTATTATAAATATATTGAATAATGAATAATACTTCGAATACTTCCGCATATGCTGGCCATGGCATTTTAAAATCCTTTTCTAATGATTGCGATGTCTTACCCATTGCTTCAATTTTTAAATAACCACGCTGGAATCACGCAGTGTACTTCACGCTAAACGCACGTTATGTTAACGACTAAGGATTGGCGACGCGCGACGGAAATGTCCAGTAGGAATATAATTTTTTGAAAGGAATACAAATTGCGTTCGAAGAGGAGACTATCAGCGCTATTGCGTCATTTTACCCTTGTTTTACATCTAATGAATGATAAAGATAAATGGCGCAATAGCACACTTTCCGAACGCAGCTAGAATAACTAATGCTTATTGGATATCGAGCATCGCACGTAGCGTCATCATGCCATCCACAGATGTCTATAGTATAGACATCTGTGGTACTATCAGAAACTTAGGTTTGAAATATATGAAGTAACTATTAAAGTAACTATTAAATTAGTTACTAATTACCAAATAAATATAACTAAGTTAAGTTACAGTTACAGACAAAAAATGGAACAAAGTTAAGTTATAATTACTAAAAAAAGTAACTGTAACTGTAACTTCATTACAAGTAACGAGTTACTTCCCAACCAGGATTGAGAAGTAACTCGTCAATTGTTAATTTCTTAGCTGTTAACGACGGAAATATCTGCGAAAAGGAAAGTGGCCCAAACTGTTGATGACAGAAATATCAGCGAACTTCAAAATAAAATAAAATACCTATAATGGAACGATTGGAACAGGACACTACATTTTTATGCTTTTTGGGATCGTTGAATTCAGATCCGAGGTCGAAATTGCGAAATTCAAAATGGCGGATTTAATATTCAAAATGGCTGGACCGAAAATTCAAAAAATTATTCGGCTCAATTTTAACCTCGGATTTGAACTCGGCGACTCCGAAAACATAAAGTATAATATCCTGTTCCAATTACTCCATTTTATTATTAGTATGTTTCCCCTTTTTTTCTAGAATGCACAGATATTTCCGTTATCAATAGTTTGGGCCACTTTTCTCTTCGGTGTTATTTCTGTCATTAGTAACCAAGGAATTAATAAAGATTGTAGCACTAATAGTAGACGTGATAGTTAACGAACATAAATGTGATCGATCGACTCATAAGGAAACTCTCCCTATTTCTCTCTGGACCAAATATAATTCATATAAAGGCTCCAAGATTCAATCAAGAATAATAAATGAAAAAAGAGGAGTGCGTCCAGTCTTGAATTCTGACATGTTCGTACAGAATTTACCGTGAGCATTGATAACTAACAAATTTGAAGAGTATATTTTACCATAACTACTGATCTGCATAAATCTCACATCAATTGTCGCGACAATTCGCTTTATACTGGTGAAGTAATATTGCAACAAAAATAATTATGCTTTCAAAAGAATCTAATGTGGAAGCGGAACATTTGCATATGTGTTAATTATATTATACTTCATTATAATATAAGGAACTACATTTTTCTTCATATTATAAGCGCACAATTTTTCAAAGTTCAGCTCTTATAGGCCCTTTATTCATTTATTTTCAACCTGTAATTTTGATAAAGTTTTTAATACGTTAAAGTCTAAACAAAAACAAGTATCTTTTTACAAATATCCATATGCAGGTTTAAGGAATGAAACAAATTGGCACAAGAGATATTATGTAGAAGGTAAAACGTCAGATTTTAAAGCATTGATTGAATTCTGTGTTGAAAACCACGTAAAATCAATTTGCGGCGATATTGCAATAATTATACGTTGCACGAAACCTGTGTATTAAACATTTCTCCCATGATTATTACTTTTGTGTAATTAGTTTATGCCATAAGAACATATTATATCCAAATTATTCGCAAATTTATTTTATATTTTACATATAATATTACACTTACTTTATAGTGTAATATTATACACACAATATTATACAAAATGGTACTCATGTATCAATTAATAAAACTACTGATATAATGTTCATTTACCATTTTATTACTTTCGTTTCACTTACACACAACAACATATTTTCCACTTATATTTATATATTTCCCTATATAATTTGGTGTTTTACAAATATAAGCAAAAGTTTACACTATGCAATCTTTATATACTACTATTTTATTTACTATATACAAAGTGAAATGTAGCTTTAAATTTAAGTAATAACTTAACTTATAAATGGACTGCTCCGAAACTGTTAAAGATAATGATTACGATCTGTTTTTTTTAATTATAAATGGTACGCAGTGACAAATATTATCACCAAATACTTTTCTAAAGTTATACTTTTTAAGACTAGATAATAGTTTCTTGAATAAAACTATATAATCTTGTTGATATAATATTCTGGCTAACGTCAAAACAGGTTAAACGAAACATGACAAAATGACTCTCAAATTACTTTAAAGAGTAAAAAAATATTTTATGTAAAAAAAATTTTTGATTTTAAATTAATTCAATGTTGCAATTAAATTAAATTAATTTAATTTTTCTGCAAAGTTGTCTATATATTTAATGATTAAGAATCTTTGTAATATTCAAATATTTTAGACGCATCTAATGGTCTCCGTATTTAGGTTAAAAAAATGTTTATAGGTTTGAAAACAGCATTTCACATTTTCCGAAGTGACGTCTGTATGTATGATTTATTAAAGAGTGATTTTTTATAACTTACATATATACTATACTTTTCTGCATCATTCTGAAAATTTGATCTATTATGTCATGAAACGAAGCGTGTTCAGACGAGTAACAGTAACGTTACTATCTAAAGTTTATATTTACAAACATAAGGAAGGCTTTCAATCATTGTATAATGCTTTAAATGCCTCACTATGTGTGTAAATGATTATAATATAACTGGTATAAAGTAAGTCCTATATCCTTTCGCAAATAACCACGATAATCCAAATTCCAAATCAAATTCGGTCCTAAATTTAATTTCCAGTTCTGAATCGAACTTTTTTCTTGTGATTTAAACTTGGATCTGTATAATTCGTATTATTCAAATTATATTTCTATTTTCGTTATTGAGTTTTTATCTGGTCGGCATTTCGTTGCGCAAGTTGAAATCTCTCTTTCCGCGCAAGAAAGAAAAAGAACCGAGTCTTTCAAAGAAATATTTTACATCCTCGAAACCTACATATGAACAGTTATAAAAACATTCCTGTCCTTTATTTTGGTGTAAATTTCAACATATTAAAAGATCTTAATCGCAGAGGAAACTGATTCTTTCTTACAAATTCACAAAATATTTGCAATTCTTTTTTCACAAATTGTATTCTCACCACGAAAGGATACTTTAATATCAATTATGCCGAAATAAAATCAAATCCCAAGAATATCATCAACCAATAAGATCAAATAAAAGCAATCTGACCTAAATTCAGGTGATTGATTTTACAACCGCGCTCTAGTACATCCATTAGCGAGCTTCACTGACTGCAAATACAAAAATGACAAGCGAGAGCGAGTCTCGACTTACATCATGACGCGCGTAACCTCTTCTAGTGATCCGTAGCATGACATAATCAGGGTAAACCCTGTTCCAATGTGAGGTGTCAATCACATAGTATCCAAGATCCTTCTCCATTGCATCTATAAACTTTGTCGTATTCTTTTGTACTGCGTAATATGATACATTATCAGTATAATACAATTTTACGTCCGCTTAGATCGAGAGAGAACCTTCCGCAGGCTCCTCGAGTCTCATCGGCGATCTCTGAACCCCGATCGTACGCGCTGACTTTTCAACACCTCGATGAGCGTCAGGGCGCACGCGCCGAGCGGACGCGCCTCCGAGTCGACGTTGATGTCGATGCCGAAGCCGCCGCGTTGGATTTCCCGCTTGCCGCAGCACACGGAAAGCAACGTGATCCTCGTCCCGCGTTTGGTCGTTCCCGGCAGAGAGCTTTCACCCGGCCGCAATGTACGTCCTCGAGCGATCGCACGCGATGTACTCTCGCGCCTCTCGTGATTTACGCACCTCGGGAAAGAACGTCGGCTATTTCTGCGGCCAGATCGTGACGTCAATGGCGAATTTTTTCTCTCACTCTCACGCGGCGTAAAAACGGCAGCTACCGGCTAATTTATCGCTCAGCCGCTTAGAGCACAAACCCGACCAAGGGTCGTAGCGTTCTGAGGCATGACCTCGCCGAGTTTCTCTTCGTGCAATTTTCATCGCGAGCCTCCACGTCGATTTATTCATCAGCGTTTCCATCGCACGTTCAGTGGATCCAGTCCGAGAGGATCGAAGATGATGAATCCTCGACACGCCTGTCGAACGCAGTCGGTCTGCCCGGGACCGTGCAATCCACGACTGAAGACTCACTACCGACATCATCATCGACATCACCATCGTCAGCACCGTGAAAAATTCTATGACACCAATAGCGACGCTATGGCGACGGAGGAGAGATCGCCGCAGCAACGGTTGATCCCGACGTCGCCGCTGAAATCCCCGAAATACAATCCACGGTCCTTCAGACCGGACGTAACTCTCGACACCTCAAAGGATGGCGAAGCGATACCCGAGACGACATCCTCCGCCAAGATCGCTCTGGTTAAGGTCACTTCCGTGCCGAGGATCCCCGAAGCCGACGTCGTCCTCCTATCGCAGAAAACGTTGAAGATCGTCGAGTTGTCGGCAAGGACGGAGATTGCGAGGATCGAAGGCAGGTCGCTGATCGCGGGAGAGGTCGAGTCGTCCTCCATCGCGGCGGTAACGATATCCCGTCGGCGGGAAATATTCCCGCCCACGAGGTCGCTGGTCGCTCGAGTGTCGAAGGCGCTGAGCAACGCGAAGAACTCGATCGCGAGGAGATTGATGAGCGACCTGAAGTCGCGGAGGGCGTCGACTCTCGTCTCGTGCCTGATAGTCGTCGCGATCTACGCAGGAATACACGTATTGCTGGCCGCGCTCGCGTGGCAAACACCTGCGCATCACTTCTTCGTGTCCAGCCAAATCTGCGGCATCCTCGTGCTTCTCATGTGGAGGATAACCGGTATGATATTCATCTGAATCGCTCCGCGCAGGCCGCGCGAATAGATAATGCGCTGAGATAATGCATCGCGCAAGGACGAGAGACGAACGAATCGAAATTGATTAATATTCATTGTACTAATTTATCATAATTACACATGCGGTGAATAATTTCCGCGCCGTCTTCCCCGTTACGACGGGACTCGTGTGATGGTACGCGAATAGTCGCGGACAAAGACGATCGACTCCGCGATCGAGAGAAGAAAAAGGAAGCACAACGAACTCTCAGCGAGACGCTCTCCTCGCCAGGATCCCGAGAGCTGCAAGTCACGATCGACGAGGAACGAAAATTCCAAACACAAGTAGCCGCTGTCTCGAGCGCCGCCAACGCCTCCTAATTTGCAATGTTGAACAACATTGACTAATGACTCCCCCCGCCCCTCTCCCCTCCCCTCCCCCCCCCCATTAAAGCATCCATCATTCATCTCAATTTATTCTTGCGATTATTTGTGACTCACGATGAGCGTTATATCAGCAATGTATTCGTGTGCGAAAACGCCGCCTGAATCCTCGTGAATTAAACATCAGCGTCATCGAATCGTAAGGTCGACTTTCGCCGGAAGACATCGCGCATCGCCTTTCAGTCCCCGGCATCATGCTTACTCCAATTTTAGACGGGACGTTTTGTTTTGTCTTCTACGCGAGAGCCTCGGTCGAAAAGAGAGACGACGGTGCTGGCTACTCCCGTTCCCGTCCGCGTCCTTTGTTCCGCGCGAGCGCTCCCTTTGGCCGCCGTCGGCTTCTTACGGCAGGACCGCAGAGGTAATCGTCGCGGCTTTCTAGATCTATTTATCCGATGACAGGCTCCTGCATCTCCTTGCGGCGCGGAGCCCCGAGGCCGCAGGACTCGCTCGTGAAGAGAGCCGGACGAAATGAGATCGTTCCTTAAGCCAATGCAGATAGACGAGCCCGTTACGCGCGGTTGCGTCACGCGAGAGAGTCTGCCCCACCGTCTTCTCGTCCTCCCGTCGTCGTCGGACTCGGAGTCGGAGTCCTTTCCTTGCGAAGCCCCGACAAATCAGGACGAACAGGGCCCCGCGCTCGCGAGGAGGACGGACCATGTCCCCCGCGACGCGATACTGGTCGTCTCGGAGCGGTTTTGCGGTTACGTGCTCCTCGCAACGAAACGAATCCAAACGAAAACGATCCCTTGTTCCTGCCGTCCGATCGTCCCTCCTCCCGGCACGTACACGCTCGGTTAGGTTCGCGTGGTTTTTAACAAGCGCATTGTCCAACTGCGGTGAATAGTATCGTCGTTACGTCACCCCGAGACCCGGCGCGCCTCAACGTGCCGCACGATCGCCGGCCCTCGGGCGAGATTTTTAAACGACCGCCACATTTGACATTCGCTCGCGCTTTTGACGCGGAGAGAGAAAGAGAGGGGCAGAAGAGGGGAGAACTCTTTATTAACGCAAGCGGCGTCGCGAGAGACGCGAAAGAGTCGGAGTCTGCATTTTTTCATATTCTCGCAGCGGAAACGAACAAATTGCACGCTCGTGATGCTGATCTCTCGAACTGTATCGACAACTTGACAGATCGTACATGAAAACATCTTCTCCATTATTGTCATCCATTTTGGACAAAGACATGATGCGTTAGAACTAAAGTCTGATCCACAATGTGCTCTCTGTTTCTTGTTTCTTATTCTTTATTTTTTTGGCATGAGACATAAGATTTAAGTTGTAAAAGGATAAAGAGTAGAAAACAGAGAACAAAGAGCATATTGTAGATAAGGCTTTAAGCACCAACTTTCACATGCTTTCGAAAAATTAGTAAATTTCAAGGAAGTGTAACTTGTCCAAGAATAAAAACCGAAAAAGTTCGAAAAGAGTTTTACAGCTTGATACCTGAACTTTTTACATCTGCTTCAGTAAATAGAGGTTTTTCTCATTGATCGGCAGAAAAACAAATCGAGATCAGTAAGAACTTGAAATTTTTAGTGAATTTAATCAACGTTCCTCACAAACTAAACGAATGATCATACAGAAATAGTTTCCACCTTTTGGAAAAATGAGTTTTCGCTTTCCGTTTGTATATTTGTTGATTGTTGCACACTTTTCTTCACCGAATTATTTAATGTTGAAGCGAGAAGCATCTTCTTGACTATTTCTTCACGGAAGACGAACAGATTAACACTCGTTAAAGAAATGAATTAATTGTTCCGAATTTCTTTTTCAAACTATTATTCATCCCGACACAAGCAAACTTTCTCGCATAAACCGAAGTGAAATATTTGAAGCGTGATTTATTGAGGTTTTTTTCTCAAAAACTGATTTACTCAAACAAGATAATAAACAAATATCTTAACCAAAATATTTTCCTTCAGTTTCTACAACTTTTTCCCATTTTTCTGATGGTAAGAGATGGATTCCGCGACGATGAAAAGATTTTTCTTTGGAGTTGATCCAATTTTCAAGAAATTTTCGTACTTCTTCAAAGTTCTGAAAGTGTGTATCCTCTAAAGCATGTTGCATCGACCGGAACAAGAATGATCGGATGGAGCAATGTCTGAAGAATACGCGTGGTGTGGTAATTCCATTGCCATTCCAGCTCTAATAGCGTTTGCTTCACTGATAATGCAATATGAGGTCGTCCATTATCACAAAGAAGGATCATTTACTCGCAATTGGTGATCCTTTTTGGTCCAATGCTCACTTCAATTTTACAAATTGTACAATTGTACAATTGTATAATTGTTGTCGGTAATGATCAGCAGTGACAGTTTCATTCGAATTTAATAGTTCATAGTACACAACACCTTCTTGATTCCACCAAATACACAGCAATACCTTTGAACCGCGAATATTGCGCCTCGATGTGGTTGGCCTGGATCAACACATGATTTTTTGCATTTGGGATTATCTAAATAGATCTATGTTTCATTTCCAGTAACAATTCGATACAAAAAACTCTTCATTTTTGTCTGGCGATCAACAAAATGCAAATGTTCAACAGTTCGTAATGACATTTTCCGATAATTGATATGGAACCCACTTTTCTTCTTTATGAATCTTTCCCATATCATGTAAACGTTTAGTAACTGTTGTACGATCAACATTTAATGCTTTGGCAAGTTCTGAAGTGGATTGTGTTGGATTTTCGTCCAATAATGCTTGCAAATCTGTACTTTCAAGCTTTTTTGGTCCCGAGTGATCTTTGTCGTTAACATTAAAATCACCATTTTTGAATCTTCTAAACTAATATTCACTGTCTTAATTGATGGAGCAACAGCACTACAAGTTTCTATCAGAATTCTATGACCTTCAACCACTGTTTTCTTCTAATTAGGAAACGAAAGCAACGCATGTCGAAAATGCTCTTTAGGAAGCTCCATTTTTAAGTGGTATTAATATGATTTTTAGTGCATTTATTGTCACAAAACTGACATTAGTGCCGTCTCTTGCAAAATCCTCAAATCTAAATCACACTTCTAATATATGTTTGAGAATAAGGACAATCCTACGAAGTTAATGCAGATTTAATGTCTACCGATTCTCCAATGATCCTGGGATCAAGCGACTGCGATCCCTTTTGCCCATGTCGTTCGTGTTCAAAGAGCGATGACTTTGGATCAGACGGTGCGTTCGCCCTATTCTACAGCAACAACGGGCTTGTACGCGGCGAGGGACGAAGAGAGGGTTTCACGCAGTACGAGCTCTTGCGTGAAAATGGAATGCGACGGCGTTGCTGCGATAAAATAGGGTGAACGTCGGTTTGTCTTTAAAGTCGATATTTCGAATATAAAGGATGCGAATAAAAAAGGATGTCGCGTTTAATCGTGGATTCTTTGGAATTGGTAAATTCTGAAAATCTGCATTAAATTTGTAAGACCTTTAAACTCACGTTGACATTGTAAAATTCCAATCTTTTCAACTTTACACCTTAGTTTAGTTTGCACACTTAAAGTTCACTTGCGCTAGGAAGATAATAGATTTATTTTCGTTTTTCAACGAATATCAAGCATCATAATCCGTTCGTCCTGTGTGAGCACTCCAAGTCAAAAAGACGTTGTTTGTTTCATTATCAAATAATCGATGAAAGAAATCACGCGACATTTAGAAATATTCAGAAAATAGAGATTTATTTTTCCAGACGCTCAAAACATGTGCACTCGTATATATTTTTTTACTCGTGTGTATTTTTTTGTTAAATCCTTGAAACTGGGCAAAGATGAAAAAGATGTCAAGATTTTAAGGATCTCGATTTGTATCTCGGCAAATATACAACAAATAATTACAATTCTTATTTAAAAACTTGTTTAGAGAAAGATACGACTTCATGCTGTAAAATACTTTGCATGCCATCTTGATATTTTCATATTTGGGTAAATTACGCTTTCTTGAAATTTGCCTTTCTTTCGAGGATGGGTGCAAGATAACGCTTTAATTTTTATATTTAAAGTGTATTCCTTATGAACTCTTATTACGTCTTACATATTTGATATTTCAATGGCGCGATAAATGCAACACGCGCGACACGACATGATAAACGACGACATATATAATATTTTCCAATTAACTGAATTTAACCGTCATCGCTACCCGATAAAAGATATTCACTT